TCAAAAAAACTTCAGAATGTTAGCGGTGAACCAACATCTCTCTCGCCGTTTTTAAAGCCGTTTTAGTTTGATCAACGAACCTTTCCGAGGCATGGATCACTAACTGAGTAATTCCATCGGATCTACACTACGTTATTGACAAGCTTTGAACTGCAAATAATGAAGCTTCAATTAACGTATTGTCCAATTCAGGAGGTTGGCTTTCTACAAATACTTTGCAGTCGAAAGTATTTTAGGGCCATATGGTTGTGTTCTCTAACTGCCTTTATTATGATGATCACTTATCACCTAAGTGAATTCAGAGGAAAGAATTTCGTCGGAGGCAAGTTTAATCATGCGGTATCGCTACTCATAAAGAATTCTTCGTCAAGAAATACAAGCCTAATCGTTAATCTAAGTCTCGATATAAAACAAAAATCGACTGTTGTACAAAATACTACAAAAGATGGAACACGTTATGATTGTCACCGTTGGTGTCACAAAACAAACACAGCCGGTTCAAAGTATTTTCTCAGCGGAGTCTTGCTTGTACGAATTTATTCCAGTGACTTGGCAAAACTTAGCACAAGAGAACTATTGCAGTGGCTTTATTATCTAAAATACGCTGGTTTTGAACATGTTTACGTGTACGATGCTTATGTTTATAAGAATGAATCACAAAAGAACGCGCTAGAATTCCTCGTAAAGGAAGGCTTCGTCACATATGTGGACTGGAGTCACAAAGCGTTTCCCTATTCAATGACTGGAACTCAAGAAAGCGCCTATCAGCATTGCGTAGAAACATGGGGCAAGAAATCAAATTGGCAAGCAAGCATCGATATGGACGAGTACCCTTTCTGTCCGGAAGACACCAAACCCAATTTCATACAACGTTTCATAGCTAATTTCTCCAGAGAAAAACCCAGTGTTTCTCAGATAACGATGAAAAATTTCTTGTTTCTTGGTAAACCATTTAGCGATAAGGAACGCCCGTTACTTCTCGAACGCCTCAAGCGGAGAACACGCGGACCGGCTAACAATTTGGTTAAACCCATCTACAAGACTTCGGATATATTACGTTCTCACGTCCATCACCACGCCTTATCACATGGCTTTTCAGAGGACGCAGATGAAAGTAAAATAAGACTTAACCATTACTGGGGTGCTAGACTTCAAAACTGGGGAGATGACACGCCAGAAATTTTGTCAAAAACCATGGAAGATAACACGGTAGATGAAATTGTAAGAGAACTGCAAAGATGTGATCATGTTTGCCTACCGGACGAATCCTTAATTCATACAGTTCGCTGGAATTGAGCTATTCTCGATCTGTACAAAAATTGCGCTTCTACGACGCGCCTTTTAAACTGATTTGTTATGTTTTTGTTTGTTTAAAAATTTCTCGAAATTTGTACATACATAGACATAAATGGGACGGTACAAAACGTGGACCTTCCTTCTTGACTCCCTTTTAGAACCCCTTCTAGACCCCCTTTTGGACCCCTTCTGGACCTCCCTAACTAGAATAAGAGAGGATGAAAACAATAAACACCTGGTGCGACTTAGGAGGTCGTCATCAAAGTGGCATTTCATGCTAAAACCATTTGCCTGAATCTTCAAATAGTGCCACTAGAAGTGTTAATTCTCTACGGTGGCCCACAACTGTCGCGGCGAAAAGTAAGTATTGAAACTAAGTAAAAGGAAGTAAAACTTTATTTACACAAGGTAGCCCGTTCAGCTCAAGGCTGGTATCCGTAGGGGCCCTGTTTCTTAAAAATAAATTAATCACGGCGAAAAGAAATTGCTCGCAGCAAAAAGGAATTACTCATACCAAAAAAAAATTACTTACGGCAAAAAGAAATTACTCAGGGCAAAAATAAATTGCTCACGACGAAAAGAAATTACCCACGGCGACAACAAATTTCTCATGGCGAAAAGAAACGGCGAAAAGAAATTCCTCATGGCACGATGGAGCACAATGTTTTGCAGCACCTGCGAGCAGTGTTTACGGAATGAAGACAAGTTTTGCTCTCAATGTGGCAAAGGTATGGGATTTGAACCTATTAATTGTAAAGACAGACTTTTACATGCAGGATGGTCTTTAAAGACGGATGTTTGCTTGTGCACGGTGAGGTATAGTGTATTGAATAGACGCACAGGGGAAAGGCTTTACGCCAAATGTGGAAAAACTCAGGGAGGAATTCAAGAACTTCAGATTTTTAAGCAACAATTAGCGTTACCTTAGCAACACAAATCATAGTACCTCTATGACAAATTGATCATTTTAATCTATCTCATCGGTTTGAAATTTGTTATTGATCCACGACTCACGTCACTTTACTTTAGTTATTTCACTCCCAAATGCAGTGCTCAGGAAAAAAGAAAAAAACCTTTTGAGCCTCTTTATAAAACAACAGCTGGGTAGGCTCCCTTTCAAACCCAAAAACTGAGATCTTTAAATCCCCCCACAATCTTTACTTGTCTTCATTCCCTAAACACTACCCGCAGCTGCTGCTAGACACCCTGCTCCAAGATGGCGTGCTGCTTGATGCAATCCGAGCCAACTCGAACCAATCCTCTCCACCCAGGCGTTTTTGAGTTTTCTTTTTCGTTGTGAGTAATTTCTTTTTGCCGCGAACAATATCTTTTCGCCGTGAGCAATTTCTTTTCGCCGTGAGCAATTTTTTTTTGCCGTGAGTAATTTCTTTTTGCCGTGAGCAATTTCTTTTCGCCGTAAGCGATTTTTTTCGCCGTGACAGTTGTGGGCCACCTTAATTCTCCCTATGCTCTCGTGAAATCCATTTTGTTTCTAACTGGTTCTAGAATATTAAACTTTCTAATAGTAAATATATAACTTGTATTGCGTACGGATTTTATGTAAACCAAATTTTAATATCGCTGTATATTTTAATTTGATGAAATGCCATGTTTAAATAAAGGGTTCCATCCCTCCCCACCCCTCCCCTATCCATTCCTCACCACCCCCTTCCCCTATCCATCCCNGTGAGGCTGGCTCTTCCGCAACCTCGTACCGATTATGTTCGTAAAAGTTTCTCTTATAGCGGTGCCGCGTTGTGGAATAGCCTTCCGACTGATAATAGAGTATCTAAAACATTAGGTGAGTTTAAGACGAAGCTAAGTAACTTCAGTTTTGAGTGAACTAATGACATGGCGTCCCTGAAAAGCAGTACTTTTATTTTCATTTATTATCATTCTAATAAGAAGTTAGTTCAGTTCGTTTAGATTAGGCTTTTAATCTTTGTATATATTTTATAATGATTATATAGTTTTAAGCTTTACATTTGTAAATATATTGCTTGTATACGACTGAGTGGAATTTACCGTGTATAAATAAAGTGAACTATCTATCTATCTATCTATCTATCTATCTATCTATCTATCTATCTATCTATCCACTTTCAATTAGTGATCACTATCTTATTTATGCAATCAGGAAAATAGGGATTCCCAGCGGTCGACCTAGGTTTGTTGAGGCAAGTAATTTTCAGCGTTTTGACGAATCAAAATTCAAAAGAGATCTCAGTAATGCGCCTGGGTCGTGTATTGATAATTTTTAGATGTGAACTGTGCGCTAGCCGGGTGGACTAACGCACCAGAAGAATACGTAACAAACCCTCTCCATGGTTAAATCCGAACATCAAACAGTTGATGTTTAAGCGAGATTGGTTAAGAAGGAAAGCAACCAAAACCGGTATGCTAGAAGATTGGACGGCTTATAGAACTTCAAGAAATCTAGTCAATAAAGAGATAAGACTAGCGATTAATCAGTCACGCATAAAAAAGATTTATCAGTCACGCATAAACGAGGCATCTGGCGATCAAAAGGCGACGTGGAAAGTGCTTAATGATCTCTTAGGAAAAAAGTCGTGCCCATCAAAGATAAGTGAATTGAAAAGTGACTGTGGTGTGACAATCACAAATCCTGAGGACATCACAGATTACATGAACAAACACTTCGCAGCGATCGGCCCAAATTTAGCTTCAAAGATTCAAGTCGATGAAGATAATATTACTCCTACAGAATTCTTGACTAAAAAGATTCTTGCTTTAATTTGAAAAAAGTGGAAGCCTCCAGTGTGCTAAAATTGTTGAATGGGGTAAAAATTACCAAGGCAACTGGTATCGATAAAATATCAAATAGAATTTTAAAAATAACTGCTCCTGTTATCTATAAGAACTTAACAGACATATTCAATTTATCTATCACCTCGAGCTCTGGTGTATTTACATCTGATTGGAAAATAGCAAAGGTCTCTCCACTCTTTAAATCGGGTGATCTGAGCAACGCAAATAATTACAGACCAATCTCTGTTTTGCCAACGATTGCACGAGTATTTGAAAGAATTATATTTGACCAGTTATATACGTATGTTTATGAGAATAACTTTCTTTATACGTACCAGTCCGGATTTAGACCTCTTCATTCAACCCTTACTGCTTTACTTGATATAACTAATGAGTGGTGTTTTAATATTGATAAAGGCATGGTTAATGGAGTTCTTTCCCTGGACTTGAAAAATGCCTTCGATACCTTTGCCCATGATATTTTACTTACAAACTTAGATACTACGGAGTAGAAACTGCAACAATCAATTGGTTCACTTCGTATCTAGAAAATCGATAACAAATATGTTATGCAGTAAATGGTTCAGACTACACCTTCACAAGTATGTTATGCTAATGATATCAACTCATCTATAGATAACATAATATGTGGTGTTCCTCAAGGTTCAATTTTTTAGGTCCGCTGCTCTTTCTTATATGTGTAAATGATATCTCTAAGCGTTTAGATTATGGGGTAGCAAGATTATTTGCTGACGATACGAACTTGACATTCTCAGGCTGCAGTTTCCCTGCCCTGCAGAATAAAATGTCAAAGGATCCCAGGGGTATAGCCTCTTGGCTTTCAGCCAACAGGCTTATCCTAAATGTGTTAAAAACTGATTTTATTCATGGTTGTAGGATCAAGACAAAGAGTAGCGAGCCTGGAAGAGGATATT